TTAAGTATATTTTTTACGTTCGTATATCTCCAAGTTGAGATAATACTTATTACATCTAATGTATCTCAATTTAGGGATTAAATTAACTGTATTCACTACTTTTTCTAATATAATCATCCAATCTATTTATTGATATATGACAGTTCATCAAGTCATCAATATCTTTAGATTTTCTAATTCCAGGCAAAATATTGCCTCTTGCTTTACCTAAAGAAGAAGATATGAATGTTAAACCCACAGTCCAAATTCTGACATGCCAAAAGATAGAAAAGATTTTCTTATTATATTTTTCTCAAAACTTAATAAAATAATCTTTAGGAAAAAGAAAATTTGTTTTCTATTAAAAACTTATTAATGGTTACAAATGCCAAAAAAAAAATTTCATACTACCACGAGGACATATTTTTTTTTTTTTTAAAGTATTAACTATAGATCATTTAGTCTTCTTTTTCTCTTTTTTTTTTTTTTTTTTTTTTATTTAGTTTTCTTTTTTTCTTTTTTTTTTTTTTTTTTTTTTACAAAAATTCTTTCTCGAGTCCTTTTTTTTTTTTTTTTTTTTTTTACAAAAATTCTTTCTCGAGTCCTGAAATTTATTTGCCATCATTATTACCTATCCTGTAGTTCACATCCACATTGACTTATAACCTATGACTATATTTTTATGACTTCTTACTATCACTCCATATCTGGTTAACTCCTTTGGATTGAAACTATTCATTTCCTTTCTCAATTTCTTCTTTCCTAGTCACCATTCATGAATTTTTAATTTTATCTTATCCTTAACATATGATGAGCAAGGACCTAGCGAAATTAAAAGATGATCATACTTTTCAAACAAGTCCATTTCTCTAATTACCTTATAAACATCTAATCTATTCTTTTACTCCATTTATCTTCATACAATAAATATTTCACTCCAATAATCCTCTCCTATTTCTTTTTGCATCTATTCATATATAATCCCTATTGCTATGTTTGATAATTTCCTTCATTACCATTCCCGCATTTCAAATGATTTCATCCTTTTGAATCCTTTGATATAAAACTGGCAGACTACTTTATTTCACACATCCCTTATTAAATCCTTTCCTATCAGGATCAACTCATTTAAGTTATATTTTCTCTCTCTATTGGTCATTTCACCATACTGACCTTTCTATTCAATCCAGCCATTTAATTTACTTTATTTAGTCTAATTTAATTTTTCTATTCTCACCACTTATATCCCATCCATCAAGTTTCTTTATTCTTTTCTTTTCTCCAAATTCTAATTTCATCTCTTTGATTCATAGGCAATATTTATAAAAAAAGATATTATTAAATATACTTAGACTTTAAGAATCGGTGTAATAGTAATTTTTATGCACATGCATTCTACATATACTGTGTTTATAACACGTTTCAGAAAACTTATCTCAAAACTAAGTTAGCAATATTAGATCTTTATTTGAAAATTTAACACAAGCGAAGGAATTTAGAATTAGTTAAAATAAAATCTTATAAAATGTTATAATGAAAATAATAAATTAACTATATGCTTATCAAAGTTTTACCATATCTTTTCAAAACTAGAATTCAATGGAAATCTCAAATAACTCAAGGTATTAACAGAAGTAAGCACGATATTTTCAAATATTCAAACATGAACTTTTCCTCTAAAACCTTGTTCAAACATTATCTAACATTAGCATGTCAGTTGGATTGAGGTTTAGAGCATTCTAGTAAAATATTTTCCATCCTACCATTGTCTTCATATCAAGCTACAATCCGTCTTCTATTCTTTCCAAACCACTGTGTGTCTCTTAAATGCCATTTCCTCATTCATTACTATCTTGCTTATATTTTAATCCAATATTCTCTATTTACTCCAATTATTCACATTATTCCTATTACCCCTTAATTCAAAGATTTACAATAAAATTACTTAAGTCCTGGCCTTAAAATTGCCACTTTTAATATATTTATGGCACACCAAAATCTATTTTATCTTCCAAATGTCCCATTAAATCTAAACAGCTCCCAAAATATGTACATTCTAGCTTAATTTACATATTATTACTTGGGCTTTTAGCTATTCAGGTTCATTCCTACTAATTTTCTTTTTCATTGGAGTACTCAACAGTCCTATACTCTCAACATAGTTGTAACTCATCTTCTATATCAAGACTGTCCTTTCAAGTCATTCCAGTGTCCATGTTTTTAACTTAACTTTAAGCACCAGCTATGCTTATGATCATTTCCTACAATTGTCTAATTCAACTGGCCCTGTGATATGTATAAACAAATTGCCAAATACAATTATCTTCACATTATTATATAATATAATTCCTATATATAAATGGGCACTCAAATTATTTATCATAGTGTGATTTAAATTCAAAATCAAATTGAGTTCAAATTCAAATAGCAGGCAAATGCTATAGCAAAAAGTTAATATTTTTAGAATTTTTAGTATTGAGCCTTATTGCTTAAACACAAGTTCATGTTTACAATGACATCGTCTATCCTTTTTATCTCCAAACAGCTCGTTAAGTATTCAATTTACGACCTTATTTAGTTCTTAATTCTTGATATCCATAAACTTAGACTAGACTAAGGAACTAATTTCTTCTTGTTAAGAATGTATATTAAACATAACCCAATTTATAGGCAACCAATCACAACGATTCCTCATTCGCCATTCTCAGTAGTTTCACAATTATAATATCAATATCTCTCAATATATATTCGATATCTATTCTGAATTCCAACTCCAAGGTAACCTTGATTAATAACATAACTAAATTTGATGATAATTCTCATGCAAACAGCTAAGTCTCTCATTATGGCTATTGATACTATAAATGTCTCCATTCATAGTTTGCCACACAATGAACATTTCCATTTATTTCTTAACATTATTCTATTCACTGTAGAAATAAATTCTATATAAAAAGTAGTGCACTAGATATTCAAGTTAATCTATTATCATCCAGTGTTCCTCTATTCGCAGGTTTAGAAAATGGTTCCTACTTTAGCACTTGCAATTACTGTAATAGACTATTTTCATTGTCTACTTACCATACTTATCTTTAGTTCCTCTCACTATATTTTACCTATTTAAACAATAGATATGAGTTTTCCCACCTCACAGGGTTTAGTGCATCCACCATCCCTTGAGAGAAAAATCACCAAGTTCCGTTCCTTATGTTGGTTACGGTCGATCCCAACATAAAGAAATTTCTGGTCTATACATATTCTATAATGATTACAATAACCTTTACTCTACCCAATTCAATCATAACAATAAAGGAGATATTGAAAAGGAAGCAAATGAGACTGAGAAAGACGAGATGAAATTCCTTATGCTCTGTAGTTACTTATACAATTTTGACCGAAGCTCTGATACTAACTTTGTCACAACCCAAAATCGTGGACCAGATCGGCACTAGGGCCTAGTTAAACTTAAGGCCCCTGAGGCCCGTAGTAAGCATATCTCATATAAATTGAGTCCTTTAATCTAATTTTAAGAACAATAAGCCGATAATGTGACGTTATTTAATCATACTGTCAATTTATATATCTGGCTCAACTTCCATATTTATTATAACTCATAGCTTGGGCCCGTAAATTTTATACTATTAACGTCATCCATAATATGGGCAAACTAGTCCTTTCGTACTTTTAGAGAGTCAATTTGAAAATTTCACAAGTTTATTGAACAATACACCGATAACTTTTACACGATAAATTGCAATACATGACTCTCTAACTGCGGAGCTTAGTAAGTAGATATGGATACACTTTTATACATAATATTGCATATTCAGATGTTATCAAAAACTAATAATTACTACTATAACTCTGCAGAAAAGGAAGCTGAGCTTATCTGAACTAGCACATTGTCTATCTCCCGAGAAAAATTTAAGGAAGGGGGTGAGTTTCACAAACTAGTATAGATAATACAAATATGATAGCAGCTGATAAAGATGTTAATGCTTTTTTTTAAAAAAAAAAGAATATAATAATTATATTCTTTTTTTTTAAAAAAAAAGAGTCAAGTGTCAAATAATTAATTTTTAAATATTATTTATTATCCATAAAAACAAAAATTTAAAATATCAAAAATAATAATAGAGATTGTTCTTACTATTAAACCAAACTCTCTTATTCACACAAATATATTAAGTTAATCCAAGCTAAAGGTCAAGAGTGAACCTATTTTTTATTTACAATTTAAGTCCTAATTATAATTTAGGGTGCTATTGCAACAAAAAGTCAAAGTTCAGGGTGAATTTGGTATAAAGGTCAAATTGGAGTTGCATAAAAATGTTAAAATTAAGATGAAATTGATATAAAGGTCAAATCAGAGTGAAATTACAACAAAACCTAAAGTTAAGAGTGAAACAATATATTAAGCCTTTTTTTTCGACAATTACTTTTTTATCTTTTTTTTTTTTTTTTTTTTTTTTTTTTTTTCAGGGTGGAATTTGGTATTAAAGAGTCAAATTGGTAGTTGCATTTAAAAATTGTTAAAAATTAAGATTGAAATGATATTTAAAGTCAAACAAGAAATACAACAATACCAAAGAATGAGTGAAAACAAAAAACCTTTCGGACAATTACTTTTTTATCTTTTTTTTTTTTTTTTTTTTAAAACACGAGAAACAACAAGGACTAGACCATATCTTAGGAAAAAGCTACAAAACAAACCGTCTTGCTGGAAAAGCTTCACCAGGTGAAAAACTCCAAGAATATGGATCACCCAGAGGTCAATGCTATTTTTTTTTTTTTTTTTTTTTTTTTTTTTTTGAAAACAACGAGAGAACAACAATTAGACTAGGACATATCTAGGAAAAGCTACAAAACAAACGTCTTGCTGGAGAAAGCTAGCCATACCATGGGAAGGAACCTCAAGAATATGATCACCCAGAGTCAAAGTGGAACCATAGTGAGCAAGCCAATCCGCACCAAGTATTGGCTTCCTTGTAGATGTGCAGAATACGGACCTCCCAACTCCTTCAAAGCAGCTCCTTAATGTTCACTACCAGATTAGAAGCAGAAGAGGGATAGGTGATAGGCTGATTAATCAGCTCACAAGCTTGCACATTATCCACCTCCACAATGAGATTCCTCACGCCTTTATCCCAAGCCAGACTCAAGCCCAAGAAAACACCCCAGAGCTCCGCTAGAAGAATGGAACAACTACCCAAGTTACAAGCAAACCCATAACACCAATTACCCACATCATTCCTAATCACACCCCAAGTAGAGGCCCTATGTGACTGTGTAATCAACGACCCATCACAATTAAGCTTGAACCAGCCAACTGTAGGAGGACTCCAACCCAGTAAACGCCAGTCTTTAGCACCAGCTCGATGAGCAATACTGTCCAGCTGAGATCCCAGAATACTCTTTACAAAAGAACGTACCACCCCAGCAGGGTCCAACGGATGGCCCTCCTCTGGACAAAAAAAGCAAGATTACACCATTTAAATAGCTTATATAATCATATATGAGCCGACTAATTAAATCTTCTATGGATATGAATGCATTACCATTTTTGCTAACAATTTTTATTTTATTTTATCTTTTGACCTTTTCCGTTTACTTAAATAAATTATAATTTCTATCCGCAATATCTAATTGGATCGATAATTTTTAACTATTTGTAATTTGTAATAGTAAAAATTTAATTTAAAAAATAATAATATATCATATTATATATATGCTTCAATATATATTATATTATTTTATTGCAAGATATATTATTATTTAATAATATTAAATTATATTTAATATTTAGTACAGTTTACACTATTTAATGATATTAAATACTTAATTTTTTAAATTACTATCACTAAATTTATAATCTTTATATTTTGCTTGATCTCAATATTTCATGCTCTCAGATTTATTTTTTCTATAGATGATTTATAAGATTATAAAGTAGATAAAAATAATAAAAAATTGTATAAAAATAAATTATGAATACGTATAAGAAAAAAACCAACAGAGTATAAATAATGTGCAATGCACTTTAAAAAATAAATTTAAATTTAAAAAAAAGATAAAAATTAAAATTTTGAAATATTTAATTATTTATATGTATTTATTTTAAAAATAATTTTAATAAATTATATCCAATCAACTAATAAAATATAATTCTCTAACCTATGGGTTGTGATTCAGTTGGCAACGCAGGTGGGACATGTGGGAAGAGCAATCGGATTCTATTCCCACCAAATGCCCTTGTAGAGAGGGGCGAAGAGCCTTAAATATAACTAAACCTCGAGCCGGACTAAGCAATCCTTAGTAATAAAGTCCGATACCGGTGGTTTACACTAAAAAAAAATATAATTTTCTAATTAGTCATATTTTAAGGTTATTTTAGGATATTCAAATTTCATTAACGGCACTATCGGAAATCTCATTTATATATAAAGCCGTCTCTTACTGGCTCTCTTTTTATATTCTTTTAGATTTTATTTCTAAACTACTACCGACAGTCTTCTTTGGTCGGCGGTGGCTTCTATTTGTCTCTTTCTATCATTTTTCTTTATTTTACTTAGTTTTCTTTCTAATAATTTATAAACCTATAATCGTTTGAAACAAAACTTGAATTTGTTCTCTCAGATTTGTAATAGTTGATAGATCTTGAGTATTTTTGGCACCCTCTTAATGAGGTTATTAATTTCTCTCATTTCATAGAGTTGTTCCTTATTATTGAGGAGTTTTTACGTGGATCTTTTATTTCTCTAGCAATTCAAAATACAGAATGAATTGTTAGTTTCTTGTGGTTGGAGACTTTAAATCTTCAAGTTCGGTAAGTTTCTTTTATCAATAGAGCCTAGTAGTGTGTTTTGTACCTATATTAAAGTTCGGTATATTAAACTCTTCTACGGGTGTCAGCTGTAACAAGTTTCCGAAAAACTAATGTTCAGGACAATATTGTGGAAATTTTGTCGTCCTATTTAAAAATGGACCAGTTTTTACTCGGAAGATTAACATCTTCTGTCAAGATCAAGAATATCTCCAAACAAAAGATTGTTATTTTCTATATTTGTATTTCTTATTTCTATAGAAATATTATGATGTACTCTACTTTTATTTATTATTAATGAATTGTTAAGTTTTTTATACATATATAGCTATTTTATTAATTAGTTGTATTAGTTATGTTATCTCAGTAGAAAAATATGGTTATAATACAGGAGAAAAATTATAATTAATATTTAATATTATAAAAAAACAATAATAATGAGCGTAAACAATGAGTAAAAATAAGCAATGGCAATAAGCCACCGACGTCATAAAGAAAAATTAGTATAAATAGATATATAGATAGATATAAATCTAGATTGATGTATAGATATAGATATAGATAGTCAAAAATTATTTATAAAGAAAATTATTTTATTTTCTAGATAAAAGGAAAATCTTAATTTAAAATTCACCTATTTAGATATTTATAAAGCAATAAGTAATTTATCAGCCAAATGTATAAATATACTCATGTACTTTATGAAAAAACTTTATTGCACTCCAAACTTTGCAAATGACTTATTATGCTTCTGAAATTATAAATTTTGCTAACATTATATTCCTCTTTATATTAGCAATAATATTTTTTTGGTGTTTTTGTCATTTACATGCAAGATATTCACTTAATTTGTCATTAGTATAATCTTTGGAATAATAATTTTTATATTTTTCAACTATATAATAAGTGTTTAATTGATCTGATTTTAAAAATTTGACTATTCAATAGAATAATTTTTGCAAGTTTAAGTATTTGATTAGTATAATTTTATAAATTGAAGTGTTCAATAGATCAAAGTAAAAGTTGAGGGTGCCACAAAGTTTGCGTACCCACTATTTAGAACAAATGAATTCTACAAAAATTTTGTGAAATTCATTTTGAAATTCATATTTTTGTGTTTGGAATAAAACAATGTAGATTGCAATTCTAGGAATTCAATTATATGAAATTAAACATAAGTACATCAAATTTCACAAAAATAGGTGAAATTTCCAAATTAATTTTACAAAATTAAGCGGTCCAACTTTTTATGACAAAACTATCATTCTCCTTCTACAAAATCAATTTTTCAATTTTTTATTATTTAACTTATTTATTTTTTCAAACTTGACCAAAACTATTTAAAAAGTTTATTTTTTTAGAAAAATGTTTTCTTATTATTGTGTTTTTTATTTTAATTTTTAGCATTTTTTAACTATTGAAGAGAGAGATTCAAATTAAATATATATTTATCACTTTATTAAATACAATAATTTTATTAATATTATTTTTAGCCATTTTAAACTATTGATAAGAGAGAGATTCAAATTAAATATATATTTATCACTTTATTAAATTACAATTAATTTATTTTAATATTATTTTATTAATATTATTTTATTTTATATATTTATTTATTTTAATAAAATATAAAAAAGTATATAGCATAACATAAATATAATTAGTATTTATTATTTATTTTTGTGAAATTACTATTTCAAGAATATTTTAGGAAATAAGAGGAAATAAATTTTCAATTATGAATTATATTCCATAAATGATGGTAGTGATTTTCGCAAGTATACGAAATCGCAACAAGTAATAAAGAGTGAGTAGAGTATCGTTCCCACGAGGACTATGTACCAAGTACCAAAATTATTTTAACCTACTATTATTTAAACGGCAATTTATAGGAAAATTATTAAAAGAAATTAATTCAAACAATATAAAAGATTTATAAAAAGAAATCAAGGCAAGGTAATTTTCGATTTAAAGGGAAACAAAGGATTAAAAAACTACTAGGATTTTTGAACTTTCACTTAATTCTACTCCAAAATTTTATTTTTATTAGTTTGATAATTCAATTATTTGTTCAAGTAGGGGAAAACAACCTAAAATTACTAAAAGATTCTCCGGATGTATTGTTAGCTATTTAAACCATGGTCTAATTACCTAATCTTCAATAGCGCAGTCAAAAACATGAATTAAAAATCATTAAGTTTTATGTGTTTGTGAATTCATAACCTCAGGTTATTAACTTATGAAAACCCCCCATGAGTCAAACCATATAGCTTCGGCTCAAGGTTAATTATTCTTATGTAAATTTATTTAGACCTTTTTTTTTCATATCAAAAACCCTTCTCCTGGATAGTGATAATGATAATGAAATCCAGGAAAGAAACTTTGCCTGGAAGCAATTTAAATTTTTAATTAATAAATTATACTTTTGAATTACAAGAAAAGCAAAGTCTAATATTATGAAAAATGGGAAAAGAAATTTAAAGGCTACATCAAATCTCTAATATAGGAATTTAGTTCGCTAATATAAGAATTTAGTTCGACATAGTAATTAAATAAAACTCAATTAAATTTGAAAATAATTCCATAATCAATGTGAATAATGAAAAGTAAAAACAAGTTTAAGAGTTTAGAGATAAAACTAGGTAACAAATAACGTGGACGCCTTCCTTGAATCCTGACACAAATCTTGAATGCTTGAAGTTTTGGTGAGAGAGAAAACTGTGTAGAAAATAATAGAACAAGAGATGTAATATACAATGAATGACTACCTTTTCATTATGGCTAGTCTCTATATTTATATAGACTTTTTGGAATATCTTCGTGTTCGTTTAGGAAAATGAATCTTTATTGAGTAAGAAATCTTTTGGAGATAGAAAACTGTTGTAAGAAATCTTTTGGAGATAGAAAACTGTTTAGGCTTTGTATTTCTTCCCAATTAGGACTCTCCCAGCGTCTAAATAGGATTTAAACTTGATTGGTATATCAGAAAAGCATCTTATGAGAGTCTATGCAAGCGATATGGGCTGGAACTGACATTCTCGGCCCAATGCAAAATCTTGTCTTCAGCACCGGCATGCTATCTAGCACGGCTTGGGTACAGTCTTTTCTACATTTTTGGCTGGTTTTCTATAAAAAATCCTATAAAATTCGTCAAGATCAAGTGAAATATGATTCAAGGAAGCTTTGAATAAAAACATAAATAAAACTAAATAAAAACTAATTAAAGTAATTAAAAATACTAAAAATCCAAAAATACTAAAAAATCCTATAAAAACTATATTAAAAATTACTATAAAAATAACACCATATTTCACCCATGGAAAACTAAATAAAAACTAATTAAAGTAATTAAAAATACTAAAAATCCTAATAAAAACTATATTAAAAATACTATAAAAATAACACCTATCACATGATTATGTGGAATTTAATTGAACTATATAGTTTTAATTAATCATATCAAACATGAAAATTCATTCACAAATAAATTCTACTAGAATTCATTTATAAATGAATTCCATATTTTGAATTCATTTATACCAAATGGGGTGGTACAATACAAGGAAGAATATGTACTAGGCCGAAATATCATCATCAATAATTTAAGAGAATGATTTATTGATAACAAAATATAAAAACCAGTTAGATAAGCTAAAATCTTAACGTAACTGATAGAAGTAAACTCACAAAACTATAAAGAAATATTTATGTGACTATTATGAAAAATGATCATATGTCCTTTCTACATTCTTACACAAGTATTTATACTACATCTCAAGTTATAACTGATAATGTACATTTATGACGAGAATCTTAGCTATGAATGTCGAGCGAGAATCTTGGCAATTAATGATTTTAATGACTCTTTTGACTGAGCATTACTTTTATTCAAATGAACACATCGCTACTTAATTTTGACTAGTTGCTTGGTTCTTATGTTGTTCGATTCTTAAGCTTGCTCGATACAAATTAATAATCTATTCCTATAAAAAAATTTTCCTAAAATAGCACGAATCATTTATGTTCGGCTCTTTCGATGTTTTTTCCTAATGTTTTAAACTTTTTTCGAGCATCTGCTTACTCAGTTCTTCCATGTAAGCTCTAGATGTCAGTTCATTATTAGTTCATGTCTTGTCTTTAATGGATGTGACCTCTGGCATTATCAAAATTCTTACAACGACGTGCTTCTTTATTTCATCATTAAGAGGTGCCTCTTAACATTTCACCTTTTTACTTTGCATTTCTTGATGTTTCACTTTTCCTTGGCGTCTCCTCTAGCTCTCTCACCTGCTTATAAATCGAAAGTGGAAGCATTCGCTGTTGATTTTGAAGTTCTTTTACTGCCATTTTCATTCTTCTTTTGCAATCTTCTACAAGATTTCCCAAGAGTAACTTTCTCCCCTTTTAATATTGCCTTTTTATTTTTACTTGCATTTCGCTTTCTTTTCATAACACAATGAGTTCTGGCACCCCCCTTCTTGGAAAAGGCAAAGCCATCGCCATTGAAGCCTCTTCTTCTTGTTCACGCTTTGAGGCCACCAAGAACATAGAAAGCCCCTTCTTCTTGTTCAAGTCTTCTGGCATTAAAGTGTCTCGTGACTTGCTCAAGAAAGCATAAAATAAGAAAAGATCAAGAAGGTATACAATTGGCTTTCCATTTGTGCAGTCCTGAATTGACTTTTAACATTTTGCTTTGTTCAGTAGATATGAGTGGTGGAGACTTTGTTAAGAAGCTTGAGGAGAAGAGGAGGAAGAAGAGGGAGAGCAAAGCTACTACTCAGGCAAGGAGGAAAGGAAGTGCACTTGTACTTAGAGATGAGGATAAAGAAAATGTGGAAACACCTCTACCTCCGAGCAAGGCTACTCCCTCTTTTTTTCCTCCCATTAACCTAGTCATTTTGGAGCACACTGAACTTCCTGAATTTGGGACAACTCCAGATGATGTTGTTAAAACCTCTACACTAATTGCACCTCCTTTAGAAATTGAAGTTGTTCATCTTTCTACTGAAGATGCACTCCTCTTGCTAGAAGGAAGAAAAGATCTCGAGCTGATACTTCTAAAAACTCTACTCGACTAGACGCTGCTCAGCAAGACATAGAAGGATATATCAAGGCTGTTCATAGAGCCTCGACATCTTGTTCTCAATGTTCGGTAAGTAGAGATCTGGCCTAGTTGTCACTCCTTCCACAAGACTAGAATTATGTGGATTCTATGGAGGAGAGTGCTATCTTTGATAACATGAATTATAGCCTTTTTTTTGTAAATATTATACAATTGTTGTGCTTTATACTATGCTAAGGTCATCTTTATTGCTCACTTTCTTTTTGGTGCAACAACTTGTCCATCGAGTTGCTGGTATGAGGAAAAGAGTTCATAATCTTTGTAGCCATTATACTAAACTTGAAGTATCCAATAATGAGGTTGTCCAGCTAACGGAGACTGCTAAGGAGATGATGGATAAAAGTGCTACAACTCATAGAAAGAGATGTGTTGGCTCAAGGGTCAATTTTTAATCTCGGATTTTGATGATTAATACAAAATGAATAAATTTAAAATTATGTTATTTGTTCTAATTTTATCTTTATGCAGAATTTTTTTGGAAAGAAAATCATACAAGGCAAATCCTACTTTGAGTGTGAAGAGTTCGAAGACCTAGTAGCTAGGTATTTAGGAATACTTTGTAGGATAGAGGAATTTTTTTGGAAAGAAACATTCATAACAGAGGCAAATCCTAGCTTTGAGTTGTTGAAGAGTTCGAAAGACCTAGTAGCTAGGTATTTTAGGAATACTTTGTAGAAGATAGAGAAGAAATTCCAAATATTAGCAACAAAATCCTTTATGTCTCTCTTCAAAAAATATTGTTTCAGAAAAATTAAGTTATTCTTCCAAAATAAATCTTTTTTCGAAAATATTCCTTCAAATTCGGAAAAGATTTTATTTTTACCTAAAACTGAAAGAGATTTTCTTCTCTAATTGTGTTGTATAAAATTCAATTCCACCTTTTGAAAATATTTATTTGCAAGATCTAGAGTGTTTTTAAAGTTATTCTCTACTAAAAATTGAAGAAAATCTCTTTCGGTTTTGGTTAAGTGCATCTTTCCGCAAATAATTTTTTGCTCCAAAAATAATGCTTGTCGAAAATCTTTTTTCTAAAAGGAAAAGTGGAAAATCGGGTTTTATTCTCCTTACAAAAGGATAAAATAATTTTTTGATAAACAAAAGAATTTCGGATTCTTCTAAACAAGGAAAGGAAGGATTTCTGATCTCTTTCCAAAAAGCGAAACAGCTCCTGTCGTTTGTCCTATATAGAAGGAACGTTCCCGGCCTTTGAATCAATTTGGTTGAAGTAAGGAGTATTTGTTTTAAGAGCACTCGTTCTTCTTCATTTGATACGAATCCTTTTCTCTCAAAACTTTTTACTCTACCCCATTTTCTTTCATCTCTACACTTAACGTTTTCATATTATCTCTATTCTTAACGTTTTCAATATTTGAAGTGAAAAGAATTTTTACAATTACTTTTGAAAAACAATTCTGTGTTCTAATCGATTTTCTAATCTAATAAAATTGTTTTTCCTGTGCTTATATAGGCGTTTCTTTTTGTCTATTTAGAATCTGTATTCTATAGTAGACAGGCTCTTTATTTTGTTAAACTTTTGAGTGTAATAGCTTAAGTGAGAAGCTATTGAGATAGAGGTTATCAAGCGACCTTCTCCATGTGTGGGATAGTAATGTCTTGAATCGAGTTTTCTGTATTCTACCAAAAACAGAAAGGGTTGAGGTTATAGAGAATCATATAAGACTGTGTGAGAGACAGGTATTGAAATTAGAACTGCTGCACAAAGCTTTACTCAAGTTTAGAAAACTGATTAGAAACCCAAGTAGTGAAATATACTGTAAATAGAAGAACAGTTTAGAACTTGGTATATACTGTAGGCGAGTTAGTGCTGGACCACTATAACTCTCGGTGTTAATCTCTTTATTTCTGAAGTTTGGTTGTTACTGTCTCTTTTACACTCTTGTTTAATTGTCTCTCTTGTTTAATTTTTTAGAAACGCTGAAATTGTTAATAATTCAGATGTTCTAAAACGGCAATAAGTCTCATCTATTCTAAACGTCAGAACTCTGGTATTCTAATATAGTGAATATACAATGATCTAACTGTTGTTCTATTTCCAGTATAATTCACTGTTTAGGTTTCTATTTTGTTTTCTAAATTTTATGAGGATGTTCTAATCCTGATAACTCTCCATCATAAAGTTAGTTTAACATTTGATTAAGGCTCTGTGAAGAAGTTCTGAATTTTAATAACTATCTTTCACATAGTGTTATATGGTTTTGTAAACTTTATGAGGAAGTTCTAAGTTCGATAACTTTCCTTCATAAAGAAGCTCTGACATTGTACAAGTTAGTGTGAAGCTGTTCTAATCAATTATCCAAATAGCTTGCACTTTGCACAGACTTTCTATATCTGAATTAAGAACATTGTGAGGAGATTCTAATCCATATTTCTACTCTCACAAGTTCTGTGTGTTTTTCCCGCTGCACTTATGTGTGTTTTTCCGCTGCACTTAGTATTCTAATTATTGTTTAGAATTACTAAAATTTATTTCAGTTTTTAGAAAACCCAATTCACCCCCCCTCTTGGGTTGTGCCATACACATTCGGTACCCACAGGTTTCTCAATGAAGAGATTTTTGTAGAGCAACCTGATGGTTTTTTAATTCCTGGTAAAGAGGATCAAGTTTATCTTTTAAAGAAAGCTTTGTGTGGCTTAAAACAAGCTCCAAGAGCTTGGTACGAAAGGATGGACAATTATCTTATGCAACTTGGCTTTAGCAGAAGTCAAAGTGAAGCTACCTTGTATGTAAGAAATACAGATGATGAGCTTTTAGTTGTTTCAATTTATGTTGATGACATGCTTGTGACAGGTAGCAAACTTGAACTTATTCAAAAGTTCAAGAATGAAAATTGAAATGGAGAAAGTCTTTGAGATGCGATCTTGGAATCAATGAAATACTTTCTTGGGACTGGAGGGTTGCTTGCAAACTAATGATGGTTTTTTTAATAAGTTCTTTTTTATAAGTCAGCAGAAATACATTTCTGATATTTTATACAGGTTTAAAATGCAAGATTGCAAACCTGTAAGCACTCCAATTTCTACTGGTTTAAAGCTAGGCAAGGATGAAAATACTGAAAAAGTAGATACAATCCTCTATAGAAGTTTAATTGGTAGTCTTCTGTACCTTACAGCTAGCAGACCTGACATTCTACTTGCTGTAAGTTTGCTCTCTAGGTTTATGCATTTACCTAGGGAAACCCACTTTACAGCTGCCAAAAGGGTGTTAAGGTATATAAAAGGAACCAGCACATTTGGGATGTTCTTTGCAGCAATTGCAGGGGAGAGTTTGAAGTTGGTTGGTTACTGCGACAGCGATTGGGGTGGCTGTATTGAAGATTCAAGAAGCACTTCTGGATACTTATTTTCACTGGGCACAAGTTTTTTCAGTTGGAGCTCAAAAAAACAAGAAACTACAGCTCAATCAACAGCAAAAGCAGAGTACATTGCTACTGCCTCTGCTGTAAACCAGGCTATTTGGCTAAGGAAGATGCTAAAAGATTTGCAGTGTGAGCAAAAAGATTTGCATGTGAGCGACAGAAGCTAACAAAAGATCATGTTGTGATAATATTTCAGCAGTTTCAATCTCCAAAAAACGCCAGTGTTTCATGGTCGAACTAGCATATCAAAATTAAAGTTTTCGATTTTATCAGAGAAGTTCAACAATTCTAACGAAGTGCTACTTGTACATTGCTCATCTGAAAATCAGCTTGCAGACATTTTAGCCAGGTCATTCCTAAGGAGAGATTTGAAGACTTGAGATCAAAAGAATTGGTGTTTGTTCACCGTAAGATGCCAAGAGGAGTGTTAGATTTTTTGGCATTTCAAGTTTCCAGCATACTGTCAATATTTTCTATTATTTCTTTTTTTTACAGCATCAAATGGTGGAGTTTAGTGGCTTACGTTTAGTGGCTGTTTGTTAGCTCTAAGTTGCAGGGAGTTAGTGGCTTAAGTTAGTGGCTGTTTGTTAGCTCTTAGTTGCAGATTTTTCTTATTTAGTTTTTATCCACCTTATGAGTGGCATCTAAATAGGAAGTTTGTTATTTCCATTCTTGTATAAATTTTGCAGTATTCTTCAATGAAAAATATGCTGGAATTCTCTATCAATTTCATAAGATTCAATCTATAAATTCTCTACTGTTGTTTGTTCTAACACTACTAAACACGATTTCTGATTTCTCCAGGTTAACCTTCTACCCCGATGCTTTCTCATAATCCTGCAAAATTTTTAAAAGCACACTCACCTCACTAGTATTAGCACGGCCAAAATGACACTATCGTCAGCAAAGAAAAAATGGGAGATAGTTGGTGCTCTCCTACAAATTTTCAAACCATGGAGTCAACCATTAACTTTTGCCTTGTGAATCAGACTTGAAAGAACCTCTGCATAAAACAAGAATAAGTAAGGTGTTAGTGGGTCTCCCTAGCAAAGATCTCTACTCAGATAAAAAATTTCCTGGGGTTCACCATTAATCAACAAAGAATATGAAACAGAAGTAACACAACTCATCAAAATCTGGACCCAACCAGGATTAAAACCCAATTTTAACATCACATCACATTAAAAAGACCACTCAACTCTATTATAGGCCTTACTCATGTCTAATTTGTAGGCAAAAAAGCCTTCCTCCTGTAATCCTACTTTTTATACGATGAAAAAGTTAAAAAGCCATGAGAGCATCATCCCTGATAAGTCATCCAGAGACAAAAGCTGATTGCGACTGACTTATAGTGGAAGAGAGAAAAACTTTAAGCCAATTTGCTATAATAAGCTGCCCAACATGTTAGATTGAATAGTACAATCCTCAAAATCAATTTCGATTCATAGTTTAATAAGTTAAATTGAAAATCATTTTGGCTCACCAAATAACAATTAACCAAAAAGAGGTTTTTTGATTGAAACAATCAATAACTCTCTTTTTGATATATTAAAATTTTCAGGGAAAAAAGTTTTTTAATTCTTGAGGATGGTCTAATTAATTACTTGGTCTTTCTATTTTCAAAAACTACTTTAAGAATCCTTAGAGGTTTTAATTCATAAAACAAAAACGTTCTTCCGTCCAAAAAGGTACCATTTTACCATTAAGTCAAAGAAAAAATAAAAATTAGAAGAGATTAGATAAAAATAAAGACAAATGTAGCCTTGCTCCTTCTCCAAATCATCAATTTCAAGCACCATCAAATCCTCCATTCTCCACTCAATTCCACGATTCACCACCACCATTAAACCACAAAATTATCATCTGGATATCCTTCTTCGTTTCGTCAAAACTAATTTTCTGGATAATTTGTATGAATTATGAATTAGAGAAAATAAAAGCCAAAAGCTATGAAACACAGTGAATACATAGTAAAATGAATACATAGTAAAACTTGCTTATATTTAAAAAAATAGAACTTTATTTAAACATTTCCTTGTATATGATAAACATTTCTATTAGGAGATTCAATAGACAAAGTATTTAAGGAGTATTTTGCGTTTTTCACCATTGATGCTCTTGACTATGTGTTTTCAGGAAATCGTTTTCTCCTATTACAAAAAAAAAAAAGCCTTTTAGCAACGGATGAATCGATCGATAATCTTTTTTTTTTTTTTTTTTTTAAAAAAAAAAGCCTTTTAAGCAACGGATGAATCGATCGATAATCTTTTTTTTTTTTTTTTTTTTTTTATCCTAAAAAAGAGAATTAAGTGACTGATTGGTGACAAACAACAATCTGTCGCATAATTCCTTATCGCTTGAAAGACGTCAACGACCAAATTATATATTGGTCGTAATTAGCGAACAGATGAATGGGTCGCTGACTTTTTTTTTTTTTTTTTTTTTTTATCACTAAAAGAGAATTAGTGACTGATTGGTGACAACAACAATCTGTCGCATAATTCCTTATCGCTAAGACGTCAACGACCAAATTATATATTGGTCGCTAATTAGCGACAGATGAATGGGTCGCTGACATTGCTAAAGTGGTCACTGAATCACTTTCAAAAATCACCGATTCTATTGTTATTCGGTGGCTAAATCCGTCGCTGGTAGTAGCTAAAGTTCTGAAGTATTCACCACTGATTTTAGTGACTAACAGACATCTGTGGCTAAACCGCCTTTTTTTAGTGTCCATTTGCTTTTAACTGTGAAAACAAGACGAAGATAGAGATTATTAAGGAAACTGAGAATTGAGAGAAAAATGGGAAAGACACGTGTTTTTCCAATTGATTTTTATGTTATTAATGAAAAAAGAGTATTTGAAAAAGAAGAAGAAGATTGTATAGAGGTTTGATTTGAAGGAATAAGAGGAGAGGAGAAATCTGATAGAGAAAGAGATAATATAGCCATGGAAGAAAGACTCTAATACCATGAAGAGTTAAAGAATGATGGGTGTTCTTCCCTTGTGTACCACAATGTATATATCATGAATATGAATATAATTCGATAAGTGCAAGAGATATGTACAGAGAATTATAGAGATAACTGTGTCTAAGATCCTTGATTTTGTTAATTTATAATATTATCAAAATTTTAATTTAGGGCATATTTATTATAAAATTTTAATTTTTCATTTTATTTTTTTGCGAAAAAATTTTGAAGTTCGAAAATCAGTGTATTTAAAGACCAAATTTAAAAGGAAGGGAATCATGATTACTGTTTAGTAACGACACACGGGCCACCGTCACCGTCATTGTAAGATTAATTTCTTTTGATATCTAAAGATATATTTTAAGTTCTTTGCTATTCAGACTGCTTAGTTAGACTTGTAAAAATTTCTAATCACTCTCTCTCTCTCTCTCTCTCTCTCTCTATTTCTTTAAAGATAGAGAGGATAGAGAGAGAGAAGGACAGAGACAGAGATTTCTAGTCCTATTATATCTCTCCACCATTCGGACACTTCTTCATAGCCCCTCTCTTCCCCTCTCAAGATTTTCACTTTTCTCTGGTTGGTTTGATAAGAAAAGATTGAGAAATGGGTTTGTGGGCTTATTTTATTTTCACTATTATTTCTCATTTCTTGGTTCTTCCTTATACAATAAAAGCTACTAGTAGCTGCGATTTCTTTACTGGTACTTGGGTCATTGACAGTTCATACCCTCTTTACAACTCCTCAATCTGTCCTTTCATTGAGAGAGAATTCAGCTGCGAAAAGAATGGCCGTTCCGATTTATTATACACCAAGTACAAATGGCAGCCATTTGGTTGCGATTTACAGAGGTACGACACCGTTTATATCTTGTTTTACTTGGTTTTTGTTTCATTATACTGTTCAAGCTGGCTCTGCCATTGCTGAGTTTTAGCTAGATAGGCACTGCTACAGTGGGTTGATAACTCCACCAGCCCGTGACATAGAATTCCATTACTTTATCTTTGTTTTTTTCTTTCCATCTATTTTTACTTTTTGGTTTTCTTTTTGGATAAGATATGTATGATAATGATTATTTAAGGAAATATAAAGTTAGCTTTTTTGAAACATATTAAAATAAATCAGTTTTGAATTTCCATAAAAAAAAAGTTTTTAACACTTTAATTTTTATCTTCAATATTTTTTTTTTCATACATCCTTCTTGTTTTAATCAGAACTTAATCTGAAATCTTTGAAATTCTTTAAATCAAATTTACTATTCTTTCCATATGTAACAAAATGGTAATAAAGTAAGTTTTTATTTTCAAAAGATCTAGTAAGGTTATACTACCAAAATAAGAAATTTCCAAATGCACATCAATTGCCAAATTAATTACAAAAATAAACTACGTAATTTAGTATTTTTTATATAAATTTCAGAAAAATGTTAGTCAAACCCATGTCTAGCTTTTTTTCTGAAATACATTTATTACTTTTAAAGATAATGAGATATCTTTAAAAATAATAAATAAAAATATAGTTCAACTAATAAATAAAAGATCAACAGTAGCTAGGCCTTCCTTGATTTTTATTTATTAAATCAATATATTTCACTTGTCCAATGGTTTATTTTTTATTTTTTATTTTTTAAGGCAGAGAGAACAGTTAACTGGTCAGTTAGATTCATATTATGTTTAACAAATATTTATTAATTTTTATTTCGCAAAGAATCCAATGAGCTAATTTTGAGATCTTGAATATGAATAAATAAAAAACATCCTGTTTTTCTGTGGGCCAATCTAGGAACAAAAAGTGGTAGCTCTTGCTGTCACTATTTGATTGCGGATTGAATTCAATATTTGGTTTTATACACGAATTTAATTTGATTTAATCTTTTTTATAAAAAGTTGAATATATTTAATTTAAACGGATTAACTGGCCCACCTAGCTCTTGCAATGGCTTTATTAACAGAAACTGTTAAAAAAGGTTGTCTGGCCGTGATTGGTTATTGCACGTGAAACCAAGTATGTTTGGGGACAGTGGCTTTTACTTTTAGCGTTTAGCTTTTGGTAATGGTGTCTGATCTGAGGAGGAGGTGGTGGTGGTGGGGAGGGGACAGAGATTCTTTTGACATCTTTTCTAACGTTATGAGAATAAAAATCCTAAAAAAAGCGTATGTTTGTTAAGCTCATGGTCACGAGACCTGCGGTGGTATGTCTTCTCTTTTGTTTTTTATTTGCTGCCGTCACTGCCTTGCATCGCTTATTTCAATTTTTTTTTTCAAATGCATAAATTCACAATTAATCTAAAATGATTATGAGTTGAGGAGGGGACTACTCATTGGCTCGGTGGTATGGCTCCCTTGTCTTTCAAATGCATAAGTTTGTAATACTGTTGGTTGCGATAGGTTGGACGGTGTGGATTTCTTGGAAAGATTTAGAGGGAAAAGCATAATGTACGTTGGTGATTCCCTAAGTCGGAATCAATGGCAATCATTGACTTGCATGATTCACTCTTCAGTGCCTAATGCTCAATACACTATTGCAAGAGAAGGAGATGTTTCTATATTTACATTCACGGTATGCCTCTTTCTTTTGATGGGAATCTTCTTGTTGGTTAAACCTATCATTCGATTAGCCAATCATGGGGTCCTTTTTGGTTACTTGTACATCCAGTGCAAGTAACTTGTGCAAATGATCTTCTTTGCTTGTAGGTTTTTCCTAGAATTGTCCATCTACACCATAAGGCCCACCTTTTGCAAATGCTTTTCTTTCATTTTGTTTGTTAGATAGATCAACTTCTTTTGATTGGGATTGGAGATTAACTTAAAATTTTCAATGCAGGATTATAATTTGGTGTTTTACACTTTTAAATACATAGAAACAGGATTAAGGGATTTACTTACTTAGATTGAATTTATGCACAAGTACTTTCTTAGGATTAAAGTGCCAAATTTCATGGTAGGATTTGATTCAAAATTTATCTAGGATTTGTAAAAAGATTTTTGGTATTCATGTAAGACAAATATTGTTAAAAAATTTGTTTTTATTTATGTGAGAAATATTGTTAAAAAATTTATTTTTATCTATGCGAGAAAAATAATTGATATGAGATTAAAGCGCTAAATTGCAAGTAGTTATGTGCACGGTAGTGCAAGGATCTTTTATGCAACTCTAACTTTGTGGTACCTTAAACTTTATGAATGACTTATCATGCATCCACATTGATAGCAATAGTTTTAGATTTTTTTTGCTTCTATATCTAAAATATTGATTTGACGTATAATTAACATAACTTTTGCAACAACAATGTTCATATTTTTCTGCTATTTATTAAATATTTAATTAATCTAATTTTGTAAATTTTTGGAGGGCTATATATAATTTTTGCAACAATATTATTGAAAATTTAATTAAGGTTGAGCTTCTAATTCAAGATTGAGCAAGTTGGCATCAATATTATTTTTGAAGAAACGAACGAATTACACCTGACATAGTTGAAGTTTAGGGAATTGAAAGGTCTAAGCTCAATCACGGAGGTTTAACAATGATTTGACGACTCCAAAAACTGGTAGTTAGCTTAGTTGAATAATTATGTATGATTATGCAGGATTACGAAGTCAAAGTGATGCTAGACCGCAATGTGTACCTAGTGGATGTCGTGAGAGAAAATATTGGGAGGGTGTTGAAATTAAATTCAATCGAGGGTTCCAAACTTTGGAAAGGCATTGACATGCTCATCTTTAATACGTGGCATTGGTGGAACCGCAGAGGACCCACTCAACCGTAAGTGCATAACTCTTACAAAATAAAATTTATTGTTTTTTAATCATTGAATTTTAATTTTTATTTTAATGAGAGGTTACATGTTGGAACTCCATAATTGAGCTGAAATATTAACATGGTACAAAAATAAAGGCTAAATTACAAAAATGAAAAAAGCTTGAACTTTGATGTGTTTGGCAAATTTAGATAATATTTTTAATTTTGTCAATTACTATCTAAATTTATTTTTCTTTTCAATTAGAGCAATTGTTTAGAGTCTATTAGTTTGTTGCTTATTTGATCGTTAGTTGCTCCTATAGCACTTTAACTCACAATTATATGGTTGTTTTTTGGTCATTCATCGATCCTTGCATTTAAAATTTCTAAATTGAAAGATTGCTTTGTTAAAACAATCCCCTTCCATCTCATCACAAATTTAAAAGAATCTAATATGGCTTTACGCCTAACGGACTCTTGATACACCCTTAGTGACCAACTTGCATTGTCAAAAATCCCAAGATCCAACAAATAGATTTTTTCGCTTCAAAAGCTACATCACTTGATTGCACCACGAATTTTGGACGTAATTCATAATTGACAATAAAAAATAATTATCGATATTGATTGACGAAATTCAAAGTACTACTCAAGTTTAGATTTTTTTTATGATTAAGCAAAAATAAAATATTTTATTTAAAAAGTCAGATTTTATTTTAATAGAGTGATTTGGAATATATCTATTAATCTAATTAACAAATTATGCTACCTACATAAAAATAGTTAAAAAAAGAAAACCCTGTTCCCTTAGTTTTTCTTCGAAACTTTGTGGTATAATATCATGTTAGCATTTTAGATGTGGTATAGTCCCTTTATTTTTATATTTTTTTTATTTTTTATAATTAAGAGATGTAATTCCCCTCTAGCAGTAGAGTGTAAAAGTTTTTTAACTATCACAGTAAAGCGTGTATTTTCCAGAAATCAAACTTCTGTTCTTAACCTTTTGGAGATTAAGGTTGTTTATCATCTCAACCATCACCTTGTTAGTAGAAAGTTTTTAATTGTTCTACACATGTAATTTCCATGCAAGACTACAATTTCCCTGGCCTAAAATTCTCAATTCTTTAAACTAGTATGTTGATGAAACTACACTTAGAATAACTAGTTTGCACGATCTTTATCTTATTAGAAATTAGTAGCATACTGTTACACGGAAGGTTCTGGAAGCCACTAGAATTCGTGGGAAAGGTCTACCAAGGCCAAGAAAGAGCTACCAAGTTTAAGAAGCTTCTGGATCCATGAAGAAAACTCTAGCCCACAAGGTATTTAGGTGTATAATCTATAATATTCTAAATTATTCTACACATGTGTAAAGTGGATGGTAAAATATCTCTAAATATAGAATGATCCACTAAACCTCCACCACACATTTCTTGTAAAGAATTGTAATCACATGTTAAGGAGGTGGAAATTTCTATAAATACCTCACCTCCCCTCATTTGTAAATCATCCAAGCATTTGAGTAATAAGAGATCTACAACAAAGCTCTTACAAGCTCTCTCGTGTTCTCCTCTCTACTTAGCTTACATTTTAGGTGGAAATTTCTATAAATACCTCACCTCCCTCATTTGTAAATTTCATCCAGCATTTGAAGTAATAAGAGATTCTACACAAAGCTCTACAAGCTCTCTCGTGGTTCCTCCTCTCTACTTTCTACTTAGCTTACATTTTCGCTCCAACACGACTCCAAGGCTTACTTAGTGCATCCTAAAGTCTCAAGGGTGACTAAGTGCCGCGCGGATAGGCAAAAGAAAAACCTATCTCCGTGACAGGTGGTATTAGAGCAGATTTCATCCTAGGTACCAAACCTTTTATCTCAACCTATGGCAAGTGAGGAAGCTCAAGTGGTTGTTACTGAAGAACAACAACCCGAGCAAGCTGAAGCCATTCGAGGCCGTGAGCAGGTGCGTGCTCGGCCTAAGCGAGGAAGTCAAAGGCACGAACCCCTCCCATGGATCCTGTGGAGCAGAAAATTATAGCTCTTGAGCGATCTTTGTCCACTCAAGAAGCTATTGTGGGAGAACTCATAGCTCTTGAGCGATCTTTGTCCACTCAAGAAGCTATTGTGGGAGAACTCTCCAAACAAATTGACAATATTGTTCAGGAGAATGAAGAGATCACTCGGGCCGCCAAATGCATGATTGCAGAGCTTGGCAAAGCCCTACGAGAGGAGCTTCAAGCCCTTGTTGGTAGGATGATCAAGGTACGAATATTCACCGAATTTGAATTAGTGCCCTACGTAGTGAAGTAGATGCGATCCGTTCCGAATGTCGGGTGCACCATCATATGAGTAGTCTTGCCTTAACCAGTTTTACCACCAGTGCTTTGGTACCTGGTTTGAAGGTGCCCAAGCCTGCGACGTAGAACGGTACGCGTAGCGCCTCGATGGTGGAGAACTTTCTCGCGTAGCGCCTCGATGGTGGAGAACTTTCTCTTTGGCCTTGACCAGTACTTTGAGGCCATGGGGGTATTGGATGATGCTGCCAAGATTAGCAATGCCCCCACGTTCCTCTGGGACGCTGCTCAACTATGGTGGTGAAGGAAGCATGCGGAGCGTGAGAAAGGCATTTGTGCTATCAATAGATGGAAGAAATTCAAGGTAGAATTGCGGAAGCACTTCGTACCTCACAATGCAGAAAGTGAAGCAAGGGGTAGACTACGTCAGTGAAGCAAGGGGTAGACTACGTCATCTACGACAAAGCGGTAGCATCTCCGATTACATCAAGGAGTTTACTACCCTTATGTTGGAGATCGACGATCTATCCGACAAAGACGCTCTCTTCTACTTTAAGGATGGGCTAAGTGATTGGGCAAAGGTAGAGTTAGAACGGCATGACGTGCAAACACTTGACGATGCCATTGCCATAGCTGAAACTCTAACCGACTACTCCACACAAATCAAGAATAAGAAGCCCAATCCTGGTAAGAGTGGGTAAGAAGCCCAATCCTGGTAAGAGTGGGGGAGAGAAGCATAGTCAGAAAAAAGGATCAGAGTCACAAGGAGGGCGGTTCATCCAAATCTTCCTGCGAAAAATATGATAAGCCGTCCAAGAGGTATGATTCCAAACCTCCGAAACCTTCGATCATTTGCGATGGGCCGCATTGGACAAAAGATTGCCCTAATAAGAAGGCAATAAATGCGATGCATGCCGAATATAAAAAGCAAGAGGCAGAAGAAACCCAAGCCAACTTGGGATTCAGAAGAAACCCAAGCCAACTTGGGATTCCTGCAATATTTGTGCTCCATAATAATAACCCTTCCTCCTAGCATCCCCAAGATGAAGGGACTGCTATATGCCGATGTAGCCATTAATGAAAAATCAGCTAGCGTCATGCTAGACATAGGGGCTACGCACAACTTTATTAATATCGAGGAGGCCAAGCGACTAGGCCTGGATATCAATGGAGGCAGTGGCATAATCAAGACTGTAAATTCGAAAGTGAAGCCAATTGTCAGATTTGCAAAGGCTGTAACAGTTAAAATTGGATGATGGTGCGGTAAGCTAGACTTCACTGTCATGCCCATAGACGATTTTGACATAGTATTGGGACTAACATTCTTCCGAAAGGTATGCGCACTCCTTTTCCCTTACTCAAGTTCCCTAATTATACTTGAAGGAGAGAAGCCGTGCATTGTCCCATTGAAGTGCATAGAGAGTGCATAGAGATCACCATCTAGCCGATCTCTCGGCTATCAATTCAGTGGAGCCTTAAGCAAAGCCGAAAAACTTAATAACATCAATGAGCGGAACTAAAATGAGGGGTGAAGAAGTTAACAAATCCTAAACAGGTCCTTTGCCTGAGATGGTGTGCAAAATGATTTTGGATGAGTGAACAAGGAGTCAATGGCCTCCCCCAGTTGCCGAAAAAGCTCCCCTAACCTTTTGGGGCCAAAAAAGGAAGATTGAAATCACCAATTGAAGCTGGAGCCTGGTGGGCAAAAGCCCACCAGCCCATGGGCTCTTAAATCATAACATGTCTCCTCCGGAGTTGGAAGAATACTAAGAAAGCAACTCCAAGACTCTTGATCAGGGTACAATCTAACCCTCTAAAAAGCTCCTTAATGGCGCACGCCAGTCCTCTTCCCAAAAGAAGAAAGGATGGCTCTTTAACGAATGTGCATAGATTATCGGGCGGCCTTGAACAATGAATCACTATCAAGACAAAACCCGATAACCCTTGATAGCTTGATTCTCTTTGATCAATTGAGGAGAACGCAAGTGGTTCTCTCAAAGTTGCGACGCTTGAGGTTACTACCAAGTACGACAAATAGCGGCGGAAGATGAAGACCAAAAGACGACTTGTGTAACTCGATATTGGTGTCATTTGAGATTTCATTGGTGAATGCCTTTCGGTCTACAACATGCCTACCAGGCAACATTCAGTGCACCTCTCATGAACAAGCTGTTCCAGCCATTCCTTGATAAGGTTCGTTGGTGTAAAACTGACCGATATTGTGGTATAGCACCACATACACCCTTGAAGAAGCAACGTGCAACATCTCAAACCAAGTCTTCCAATTATATGGGAAAAACCGAACTCTATGTAAAGGTGGAAAAGTGTTGCCTTTTGCTAAAGCCAAGCAAGTGGAATTATTTCTTGTGCATCGGCAATCACACAGGCAAGACTAATGATGAATCCAGCATAAAGGTGAAGGCTATTCAACGAATGGGCAACTCATCAAACATCGCCTGAGCTAAGATCCTTCTTAAGGCCTGGTAAACTATTATCCGGGCCGGCTTCATAAGGAATATTCAGCCAAATCGCAGGCAGGCCCTAACTATTCCTTCAACTCAAAGTGGCAACCTCCATCAAACATCCCTGAGCTAAGATCCTTCTTAGGCCTGGTAAACTATTATCGCCGCTTCATAAAGGGATATTCAGCCATCGCGGCACCCTTAACAAATCTACTCAAGAAGAATTGCTCATTTCATTGGGCATGATAGTGCTAAGATGCCTTTAAACAATTAAAGCAAATAGTGTCCGAAGAGCCTGTCATGGTGCTGCCCAATTATACAAAGCCTTTCTAGGTACACACTGATGCCTCAGATTACGCTATTGGCAGGGTACTAATGCAAGAAGGCCATCCCATTGCCTATGAAAGTCGAAAGTTGAATGATACCAAACGTTGGTATACCGTCCAAGAGAAAGAAATGACAGCCATAGTTCATTGCCTACGAAAATGGCAACACTACTTGCTTGGCAGTAAGTTTGTGGTCAAGACGGACAACGTAGCTACCAGCTACTTTCAAACTCAAAAGAAGTTAAGTCACAAGCAAGCTCGATGGCAAGACTTCTTGGAAAAGTTCGATTGTCAGCTTGAGTACAAGTCAGGGAAGGCCAACGTTGTTACTGATGCATTGAGTCACAAGGCAAAGTTAGCCAACATTAGTGCTAGCACCCCACAAAGTGACTTCCTGGAGAGCATCCGAGAAGGCATGCAACACGACACCTTTGCCAGGAACTTGCTCAAACTAGCAAAAGAAGGTAAGACTCGAAGATTTTGGGAACATGACAGAGTACTTTATTCCCATGGTAATCGAGTCTTTGTGCCGAAATGGGGGGATCTTAGTAAAGAAACTCTTAAGGAATCCCACGATTCAAAATGGGCTGGACATCCAGGTGAGACTCGTACTTTAGCCTCTGTAAGAGCTCACTACTACTGGACGAGGATGCAAGATGACTTCGAGACATATGTCAAGACTTGCCTTGTCTGTCAACAAGAAAAGGTAGAACAGCAACCTCCCACGGGTCTACTTGAACCACTTCCCATAGCGGAGCGACTTTGGGAGAGTGTCTCGATGGATTTCATCATCGCACTGCCAAAGTCTGAGGGATATGGTAGCATCATGGTGGTGGTTGATCGATTTAGCAAGTATGCTACCTTTCTTCCCGTATCAATCGATTATAAGGTTGATGAAGCAGCCCATATGTTCTTCAAGAACGTGGTGAAGTTATGGGGACCTCCTCGAAATATCGTAAGTGATTGAGACCCCCTTTTCACTGGCAAGTTTTGGCGAGAGTTGTTCAAGCTGAAGGGGACAGACTTGAACTTCTCAATTAGCTTCCATCCCCAAAGTGATGGGCAAACAGAGTGTACTAACGCGTTGTTGGAGTTATGCCTTCGACATTATGTCAGTGCCCATCAACGAGATTGGGCTAAGTTACTTGACATTGCCCAATTCTCATATAATCTCAAAAGAAGTGAATCCACTGGCAAAAGTCCCTTTGAGATCATTATGGGACAGCAGCCCCTCACTCCCAATGCAATCGCAGCTTCATATGCAGGCAAAAATCTAGTAGCTCACAAGTTTGCGAGGGAATGGCATGAAGAAGCTGACGAGACTCGTGCTTGTCTCGATAAGGCTGCTTGGCGAATGAAGAAATGGGCCAACACCAAGCGGCGACCAAGAGTGTATGCTGAGGGAGACAGGGTGCTGATCAAACTCCTTCCTAACCAATTCAAATCATTTGCGCAAGGTGCATAAAGGGTTAGTGAGGAAGTACGTGGGACCATTCCCCATCATCAAATGAGTAGGGAAGGTTGCTTATCAAGTTGAACTCCCTCCCAAGTTGAAGATTCATAATGTCTTCCATGTTAGCATGTTGAAACCTTATCATGCGGATGATGAGGATCCAAGTAGGGGCGAGTCTACTCGAGCACCAACTGCTGTCGTTACCGAATTTGACAAAGAGGTTAGATGATGAGGATCCAAGTAGGGGCGAGTCTACTCGAGCACCAACTGCTGTCGTTACCGAATTTGACAAAGAGGTTGATAGCATTCTCAATTCACGAGTAGTACGGCGATGCGGAGTGCCAAACTATTACGAGTACTTGATCAAATGGAAGAACTTGCCCGAGTCTGAAGCTAGCTGGGAGCATGAAGATATTCTTCGGCAGTTCAGCGAACAGATAAAGGAGTACAACGCAACGAGGGCGTCGTGAGATTGAGTGGGGGAGAGTGCTACGCAGAAGTTTCTGGAAGCCGCTAGAATTCGTGGGAAAGGTCTAGCAAGGCCAAGAAAGAGCTACCAAGTTCAAGAAGCTTCTGGATCCATGAAGAAAACTCTAGCCCACAACTATAGCCCACAAGGTAATTATTTGGGTGTACTATCTATAATCATTCTACGATTATTGCCTACACATGGAGTAAGGTGGTATGGTAAAAATATCTCTAAAGCTAGAATATTCCAGCTAAACCTCCAACCACACATTTCTTGTAAAGATTGTAACCACATGTTAAGGAGGTGGAAATTCCTAACAATACCTTTCATCCTCCTCTCGTTTGTAAATCATTCCTAAGCAGTTTTAGAGTAATATATCCAAGCATTTGAGTAATAAGAGATCTACAACAAAGCTCTTACAAGCTCTCTCTTGTTCTCCTCTCTACTTAGCTTACATTTTCGCTCCAACACGACTCCATAGCTTATTTAGCGCATCCTAAAGTCTCAAAGGTGACTAAGTGCCACGCGGATAGGCAAAGGAAAAACCTATCTCTCTGACAATACACTATTACTTTGATACACCTCACGTATTTGGCATGCTCGCAAAATGCTAATTTCAAGTTGCTTGCTAGTCAAATATTGTTTTTAACAAAAAGTAAACAGTAAAATAAAAGATAATTTCTTGTACTTTATAAAAATTAGATTCATCATATTTTTTTGTATGTTTATACAAGAATGTATTTTATTTTCTAATTTTATTTTATTTTATTTTATTCTTTAATTGATTATGTTTTTATAGATGGGATTATATTCAAGATGGAAATGAGATTAAAAAAGATATGGATCGTATGCTTGCTTTCAAGGAGGCACTCACAACATGGGCAGCCTGGGTTGATTCAAACATTGATCCTACAAGGACATTGGTTTTTTTCCAAGGAATTTCTCCATCTCATTACAAGTAAGACCTTTAACCCATTTAGTGTTAAAGAAACTAAATATCTTAACTTCCCCTTCATGCATAAAAATGTATAGCTTGTGGTAATTGCATATACGATCTGAACAATGATACAAAAATATATATTGGTGAATTGCTATACCGATCTGAACAATGATACAAAAATATAATATAAGGGAGTATATATAAATATTATAATATAATATATTTACTTTTTAAATTGAACCCGTTGGTCTCTATATATATATATTATTTTTAAATTGACAACTTGTCTCTTTCTTCCAATGGTTATTGAGAAATGGAAGGAAAAAAAAACATAATCATCACAATTGGATACAAAAACATAATCACCATAGTCGAACACAAAAAATTTATACTCCCTCTGTCTTCAATATTTGTTCAAATTAACCATTTTATTTTAAAGGTGGACAATTTTTAAGAATATAATTATTTTGTTATTTTATTTCTTCAATTTTATGTTAGAATCAATAGGAGAAACATTTTAGAAGTAAAAAATAGTGATAAGGTGATCCACAAAATCTACCACACCTAGATACTTGCTAAATGGGCAAGAGGTCTATAAACTTATATACATTTTCAATATCCAATGTGAAATTGAAATACACATTCCAAGACATCAAAGCTAATTTTAATTAAATAGTTAATTTGAATGTTAAATCAATAAATGGAGCATATTCCTTATTTCATGTTCTTAATAAATTTGGTACTCAGTGGGACCCTGTGGAATGAACCAAGTGCAAGGAGTTGTGTGAGAGAAGAAGAGCCAGTGTCTGGGTACACGTATCCAGGAGGATTGCCACCAGCCGTGGATGTGCTAAAGGGTGTACTAAGAACAATGAAAATGCCTGTGAAATTGCTTGATATAACACTCCTCTCTCTGCTACGTAAAGATGGACATCCTTCTATTTATGGGCTTGGCGGGTCCACTGGCATGGATTGCAGCCATTGGTGCCTTGCTGGTGTTCCAGATACATGGAACGAAATTCTTTATAATCTCATTCTTTAATGACAAAAAGATAATATAGCTTTATAATCTCATTCTTTAATGACAAAAAAGATAATATATATATATATATATATGAATAATATATATATATAATAATTAATATAATAGGAATAGTAATTTTTAAACAAAATAAAAAATGTTGAGTTAACTGTTGTATCCTCAAACACAATGTTGATATATATAGGAATTGTAATTTTTTAAACAAAATAAAAAATTTGTTACTGTGTATCCCTAAAACATGTTTCAATTTAGTGGAATTGGTTAATTTCATTTTAAAAAATAAATTTCGGTTTTATGTTATTTGAGTTGTGTATTTTCTACAATATTTTATTAGGAGTTCTTCTTTTCGATTTAATCTTGTTTGCGAGTAACTTTAACTATGATATTAATTTAGATAGATAGTCTAGACAAATTATATCATATTATATCTCTATAAAAGGGTGAATATTCGGTTGATTTAAGTCGAATAAGAGCAACCCTAGTTAACTAACTTTTTATATATAAAAGAAATGGATAAGCATTGTCCAGAGAATCAAATCAAACTAATTTGAAAAAAAAAATTTTTTTGACATCTATTAAAAAACGATGAAGCTAGTTTATTTAAATAAATCATTTTTTTTTTAAGAATGAAGAGTATGTTTAGTAAAATTAGTTGTATTAGTAGCTACTAGCTATTTTAGTAATGGCTAGTTATTAAGTGTTTGAATAGATTTTCATAAAACGCTAAAAGTTGAATGTTACATAAGTTAACATTTTATAAAACGCTGTTTTAACTTCTAAAAGCTAGTTGAAATGCTATATTACCGAACACTAGAAAAAAAGGGCGGTTAGTGTTTTAACCAGTTAAAATTACTTAAAAAGTTATTGCTGAATACAGTCAAAATAAAACAACTTAATTCAGTTTAGTCAGTTTTACCTTTATATGTAGTACTTTGTTTATTTTTCTAGTTTTTCTCTCTTTTTTTTTATTGAATAGAGTTTGTAGCAGCAGGGAACTAATAGCAGTCATGGTGGGTCTGGATCTCGCTTCGTAGCCTTATCTAAACTGCTGGAGGATAGAGTAACTAAGAGAGAAGACCTGGTTGAGGATAGGGAGGTGTCAGGGAGTCCGCTTTTTAGCCTTTGGAGACTAATGCAAACCATGCAGAACTTGTACATGATTCAGTATGTCACCGCTTTAACTCATATTCAGTATGTCACCCCTTTCTACAATGTCAATGCCGGACTGCAAACAGTCCGGCCGGACCGAAGGCCATTTTGGACATTTACTGGAAGTATGTCAATATGGTACTTAAAACGTCCAAATTGGAAGTAAAAACATCATAATGGTACTTAAAACTCCCGAAATCGTCGGCGAGGATCGCCGGAACCAAGGTCCCGGAATATTTTCTCGGAAGGTCCGAACTCACCCAAAGAAGGCTCCGGAGTGAGGCCGGTGTCCGCAACGGCCACGCGGGTCTGGCCGCCGGGTCAATGGGCGTGCGCCTGCCACCGGTCAGAGCCAGGCCGCCGCCTGCCGGGCAACTGGTCGGCTAGCAGCCGACTTCACAGCCACTGGGCGGCCCACCTTGCGCCGCTACGCCTAGGGCGGCAGCGGGGCGCGATGCCAGTTGGCCCACTTCCTTGGCGAGGCCATGCCGCC